GTCATTGCGGACCGGTGGGGCGTGTCAGCCAGTATGAGTGTGCACACTGTTGAAGCCGTTCTCAGCCTTTTTTGTTGAAACGCGTATGCGACAAAAAGTGGTAGAAAACGAGTAATACGATAATACAGTAATGTCACTTGCCCGCTTCAACAACTGGTGCAGAACGACTTTGGCACCGCGCCAAACGCAGCCGCACTGACACGCCCCACCGGTCCGCAATGATGAGGACTGTATGACGTGCAGCAACTTCTATCTTCTTGAGAACCCATGCCCTTCGAGGAGGAGAAAGTGTGCGCAGTGTTCAGAAAAGTCCTTCCTACTTGTAATAAATTTATTGAAGCCACAGTCTGATCCCCGAACGAATCTAGTCTTTTCGCAAGGGATGACGCAACACTCTTAACACTTTTAAACATAAGAGGGCATTCAAAGACAGCCCCCTCCCCGGCCCAGCCAATTCGTGACTGTCCTTCCTGTTCACGTAGTCTGGTCCGCAATCTCTAGGATTGTCCCACTTTCGTGGCTTCACAGTAAGTAACAAAGACCCCCATAAGTGGCAGTTCTGACGCCTCCCTAGTTGCACCGCCCACCAAAACTCAAAGGGTGTCCCATTAGTCACCAGTACAGCTCGAGTACAGTGTTTTTCGTTTTCTCCTCACTGTTGGTCGCTTTGCTGGTGCCACCCGAGCAGATCCGGAAAACCTGTACAGCGAGGCTGCGAGGGGTCCCTACTTTGGGCGTTTCCCACGATTTTTTGCTTTTTCTTCAGGAGAGAGTCGTTTGGCTACTATAAGTTCGTAATTGAGTGCCACTATTCACAATTTACAATCGCTTGGTTCGTCCTCAACAGTGTTGTCTGGGTACTCTCGTTCAGTAAACTCTCGAAGACGCTATATTGCTCTGGCCCGCGTCCATTTCTCTCATAATTCGCCACAATACCAGCGAACTACCGGTAGTGTGCTCGTTCTCATACTGCCCGATAGGTCTGCAACATATTCCAGCGGACTCATAAATTTCCTGCCGCCGTCACCTGTCGTCGGCTCCGATCGTTTCCTCAATGCGCCGCTCCCTTTGCTCATCATCCCTTGATTATCAATCGATAACCATTTTCTATATAATACAGTAGTACTGGTAGTGCTGACTATTGTTCGGGTGGTCACGAATCCCTTCTCGCTGCTTTATCCTGTCCCTCTGCCCCTTACTTGCCAAAAGGAGTTCTTATAAGGCTAATCTCCCTTAACAGCTAGACTGCGAAGGGGGAAAAGGTGGGGATGAACAGCACACGCATACGTCAAACGGGAGGAAAACCTAGGAAAGTCAACAGACAAAAACCTTTTTCTCAAGAGCAAATACGACCCTTCCCTTCAATGAGCGAATACGATCCTCTCGCAGGGAATCGCCAACTAATGGCCTGCCCACGCCGATGTTCACGTTCTGAAGAATTATTGGGAATTGTTCTGTGCACTTGTCCCACACCGCCAATCTCATTAGTTAGCTTGCAGGGAAAAGCAACTGAGATTGCCTTTAGCGAGGTGCAGCCAGCTGTACATAATTGTAGATCAATCTGGCGTGCGATACTTCCTGCCTCCTTGGGAGTTTCACACTCGGCCAGGCCGAGAGCAACTGGAGTGCACTCCTCTGGCAGCCCACCCGGCCGGCAAGATCTGGGGCAATTATTCCCGTGATATGCGGCTTTTTAACCAAGTGAGGGTTCAGAAAGCGCTACCCAGGAGAAAAGAAACACTAAGCTGGACTGGCATAGGAAGTCTCCAAATCTGTCAACCCTTCTTAAACGATGTTAAAAATTGCCGTATAATGGAAGAGCTCCTTGCTGAAGACACCCTTATATCCTTTCTTTCGACCCTTGAAGAGCTCTTGCATTTCTGAGGGCTTCCACCCCCATCAGGCATGCGCGTTGTTCCATACTGAGTTCAAAAAGCAGCGCTCGAGGCGGAGATTGAATGCTCGGCGAAACAATTCGTCCAGTCGTCCAGCTATCCAGAGAGCATTACATATGAGTGGCACCCGGGCATCTCCATTCTATGTGCACTCATATTTTATTCAATTGCTTCTCAGAAAACATGGCTTTCGCGCTCACCCGTCCGCCATTATCGTGAAGTGCAATGAAGCACTATTTCAGTGGGTAACGAATTCGAGCAAAAAATTGACGTTTTTATGTGCCCTTACCTTACTCGCGAGGCCCATTTCTGAGACGGCCAGCGATGCGTTCTGAATCGTCCTGCGCAACTGATCCAAACGACCAGTCTGAGTTCCTGCTGAAAAACACATTCTTCGATTTCTACTTCATTTTCGGAGTCATGAGTTTTTCACAGTGGATTACCGAGAGTTTCCTGAGCACAGGTAACGACGTTTTCGGGCAACGGAGTGTTGTGGAGCGGTGGACGCTTCGCTGTGCGATTCGCGTGACGTCCGTCGTCGCGCGACTTCAATCAGATATAATTTCATCAAAAAATAATAAAAAAGTTTAAGAGTTCTTCGAATCATGTTCGAATGGAGTCGTGGCACCCTCCAAGTCTAAAACTCGGTGCCAGCACCTAGGTTTAAGTGGTAAGAAGCTACTACAGCTATTCTTGACCTCAAAGGTGCCAATTGTCATCTCTTATTGAAATCTGAGAATCCCCTTACAACAACAGCTAACCTCTCTACTTACAACAACAGCTAACCTCTCTATTCCACTTCATCTTAGGTCAAGAGGGATACTTAACAGACTCCCTGGGCGAAACTCGAATTGCCGTGATGGATGTGAGGGTTTTTGTCCTAGCCCAGATGGGTGAATTACTTTCTTTGAGCAAAAAGGTGTTACGGTAAGCCTCACAAAGGGAGACCTTTAAATGCCTCATCAGTCGACATGCCCCATTTGTTGCTTCTGCGTGTCAACAGGAAGGATCCAACTGAAATCAGGACGCCTTCCAGGAAGGTTCCTGCTCCTGAGAAGACTTCCGAAGAAAGTACCCTCCTTGTGTTCAAAAAGGAGGTGACTGGGATAATTGGAAAGCCCTCCTCACCCGTTCTGGAATTCCAAGAAAGTCTAATAGGTATACATCAGATGACCGTGATTTCACTCTAATCCCTCGCACGCCCTCAACCAACACACTCCTTAGGACTCGGGGAATGAACGAGCCTTTTCCCTTGAAAAACGACCGGGATTAAAGGGTTTAAGTCACGGGGAGCGAAGTGGGGATGACAACAAACGGAAAACTCTGAAGAGTACAACTGAACTCACCTGGATGTTGGCGATGGAAATAAGATTTGCTCGGACATTTCGAAGGCTGGCGAGCAGTTGAGCGAATGGTGTTACGATGAGGTCATCGCCATGTCTAAACGAAGCAATTTTGATTATTAAAACTTTTTTTGTATCAGAAACGACTACATCAAAGGAAAAAGCATCATATAGCTTGCACTAGAGCACTAGTACTAACATCGAAGGGACTATATGACATTGTGGGAATATTACCTAAGTCCAGCCTGTCCATATTTTCGTCGCAGCATAGGTGATGTATCGGTCAAGATGCTGAACTTTCTTTTCAAAGGAATTTTCAGAGGAGACGAAATATTTGGGATAAAATCGAGCAGTAAGACCGACGAAATCAGATTTCTATTTCACAGACATGAATGGGCAATAGTTGCAGCA